CCTGTAAAGTCTAAGCGAGTGCATGCCCAGAGCATTAGGGTGCACCATGCTGACCTGAAGGACAGGGGCCTGGAATGCATGAGGAGGATCGGGTCTCTAGGTATGTGCACCCACTTGTCTGTACACTGGTTGGCTGTAGCTGTTGATAAGTATTTTCAGCAAAAGTAGAAAGTCAGTGTGAACTGGTCGATGACTGCCTTCTCCACAGGTGAAAGCCTCGCCTGATCCACCTTCATGTGCTTTCTCAGAACCATGCAATCGTGGCATGAATGTGCACTGCCGTGTTGATTTAATAAAAATACTATAAAGTACAGTGGAGCGCTGTGCTTAGAGGCTGTGAAAGAGTGGAGGGACAGAGGGCAGTGTGTTGATGGAACTGTTCTCTGCTGTGAAATTGGTGGGTTTCTTGGTGCACTTTCTATAGGTGGTTATGGGTTTTCAGCTTTGTTTTTGTTTGCTTGCTTCCTCTAAGAGGTACTTTGTATGCTTCAGGTGGGTTGGTCTGGGAAGCAGTAGGTAACCTCTGAGCAGGTATGGTTTTGGGGGTGGGGATACTCTCTGGGGCTGGAATGAGGAGAGCACAGGCCACTTACAGTGAGGCCATGACCTTGCAGAGACTTTGACAACTTCAGTCTCAGGATTGAAGGTGAGCCACACAAGCACAGGCGAGTGTGAATAGCCTTCCAGGAGACTGCTTCTAATTTTGGACTGTTCTGTGCTCCTGGCTCCTTGGAAAACATATTTGAGAAAGGTGGGAAGAAAAGACGCCTCAGTCAAAGGACAGAAACAGTGACAGGAGCAGTTGGTGGAAGCTGGGTGCTGCAAACAGCGCAATCTGTTACCCCCATTTGTTGATCTTGCATGCCATCCTTCAGTTGGCACCGCTACTGCCAGGAACCACCCCCTCCCTTTCCATCCCAAGGCAGGGAGAGAGGCATTGTGACAGTATTAATTCTTCCCGCCCTATAACCACTCTGAACAGAATCATCTATGTCATGCCATGACCCACATAGACATTAAAATAAAAGATATTTAGGTGTGGCGAGGACCCCGGGGGGAAAAAGTAACATTTGGTCTGTCCAGATGAATTCACAGGTTCTGGAATAAATGCTCCTGGCGGCTGAGCAGGGATAGGTGGAGGGAGTACCTGGGCCAGAGGAACTCAGGACAAGGGGGAAGGAAGGAAGAAGGAAAAGAAACAAAACACTGAGAATTCTTCCCAGTGCAGCAGTTGACATTTGGGGAGTAAATGGATTAGTCCCGACAATGATTTAGCAAGATGAATAAGCTATTTGTTAAATTCCCAGACGACATTTTAAATCACTCACAATGTCTTTACTGTCTCTTTTAATGTTCCCTTGTGGATGGCAGAACACCGCAGGGGAGTACTAACACAGCTGTTGTGAAATGGGGGTGGGGCTTGCTGTCGGGGATAAGATGCTGGGAACAGCTTTGTTCAGATGGCAAAGGTCGCAGGTCAGTGACGAGGTTCATGTGTGTCTAGTAAGCCCTGTTTGCAGGTTAGATTTGTTGTTGTTTTGTCAACTTGACACAAGCTAGGGTCACCTGGCAAGAGAGAACCTCAATTGAAAAAGACAGGTCTGCATCGGGTTGGGCTGTAGGCAAGCCCAAAATATGGAGGCATTTTCTTAATTGGTAATTGATGTGGGAGGGTCCAGTCTACTGTGGGTGGTGCCGCTCCTGGGCTGGTGGTCCTGGGAGATCTAAGAAAAGTGGCTAAATGTGAGCCTGAGAGCTAGCCAGTGAGCAGCACCTCTCCTTGGCACATAGCCCGGGTGTTGGAAACGTTGTCTCCAAAGCCTAGGGAGACATCAGGAATTGCTTAAAGGAACTCTGCAGTGGGATTCTGTGTCCTGGTGAAATACTGTGCTTATTGTAGATTTAAGGTCCCCAGGCTTCAGCTCCTTTGAGGAATTCAAATAGCCAAGCAATGATAACTTGACCCCAGGCTCCACAGAGACATTTTAAAGACCACCCCCAGCCCTGTCCACACAGCAGAAGCACACAGCCAGTGTTTGTGGCATTTCAAGGTTGATGTCAGGGTCATTTGTGACAATTCTGCTGCTAACTGGTTCCCTTCTTCCCCCATCTTCCTAATTAATGTGTGTGTGTGTGTGTGTGTGTGTGTGTGTGTGTGTGTGTGTGTTTGTGTGTGTGCTGTGCAGGCACAGGCATGCCATGGTCCACATGTGGATGTCAGAAGCTAACTTTGGGGAGTAGCTTTTCTCCATCTATTATGTGGGTTCCAGGGATTGAACTCCGGTCCTCGAGCTTGGCAGCAATGCCTTTACCCCCTAAGCCTCTCACCTGCCTCTCTCTTTCTCTGTCTCTCCATCCATCTCCTCCCACATCTTTCTTTTCTTTTTTCCTCCCTCCCCCTTTCTTCCCCTTCCCCTCTCTCCATCTCTACCCCATATTCTTCCTCTCTTTCCCTCTCTCCCTTCCTCCCCTTCTCTACTTCTTTCTTTTTCCCCTTCCATCCTTCCTCCCATCCTTCCTTCCCTACCATCCATCCTCCCTCCAAACCCCCTCTCTTCTTCCCTCCCTCCCTGCCTGCATTTCAGAGGCTGGCTTTGGCTTTGAACTTACACTCCTGAGAGTGCCAGGATTCCAGGTATGCACCACTACTCCCAGCTTTGAGCATCCCTTCTTTCTGCACGCCTGAATCTGTTGGGTCTGCCCCAGTTCGACACTGTTAGCTGAGCTGTTGGTACACTGTAATCATACAGTGCCTATGTCTCACTCATTCCGTGTTGTGATACAATCACTAGGGGTTCAGAGACCTGTGTCTCCTGTAGCTCTCTAGCTAGAATTCATCTCCTTTACTGGCCCACTCTTTGCAAAGATGTCCCCTCTCATAGACTAGCTTTGTAAGCTGTTCTGAATGTTGCTATCCTGTCTCTGTGTGCATACGTCCCAGTCCTCCCCATCTAAGCAGTAGCTGGGAATAAACGTTTTCTTTCCAGGGGTGGAGCAGAAGCAGGGTCTCCTAATTGGATGATGGCTGAGTGCTGTGAGTTGAACTGTCTCTGAAATGACCCCCCTCCTGGACAGGCTCCAGTCCTTGCCACAGTGTTAGTTAGGCTCTTCCTCTTCTTCGTGATGGCAAGTGGTTCACAGCTGCCCCAGTGGCAGCCCCACTGCTGCTCTGCCAGGGTCAGGGACATTTCTTCAAGAACAAGCAGGAGCAAGTTGTCTTTGGCATATTTGCCTCTGTCGAGTCAAAAGGTGTGTCCTTTGTCCCGACTATAGGTTGCCACACCCAGCTCCCTGCACTGGACCTGAGGATCCCACCTGTTCCTTTGTACCTTGTTAAAAATTGTGCCTAGCCCTTGGCCCCATCCCTTTCCTTAAGGCTGCTGTAACTACTAATCTGATCAGCAAAGCCAGAATGGTGGGAATCCCCTCTAGCTGGTGGCCGAAGTCCTTAACTGTCTGCAAGCCTGCAGGGCAGAGGAGAGAAACCAAGGGCCCCTGTGTAGGAGGACACCAAGGTCTGGGATCTGTTCCACTTTGATAGCCATGGACCTGAAGAGTTTCTGCAGTACCGAGTGTAAAAGGGCCCTGTGGCTGACACCCTAAATGCCACACCCAGCCCAGCTATGGCCCTTAACAAGGATTCCTTTATCGTTTGCTCCCATGTGACCTCATCTACTCATTCACCGCCCTGGACTAATAGGGCTCATTTTGATTCTTCTGTGTAACATTGTCAGACTAAGTAAACAATTGTTTATTTGTGCCAGGTAGCTCAGATGGCCTCAAACTTGCTGTGAAGTGGAAGAGGATGACCTTGAACTCGAGACCCTCTGCCTTCCTCCTTGGTGCTAGGATAACAAGCATGCAGCGCCATGTCCAGTAAAACCATAAATACTTTTGTGTCTCTAATTTAAAAGTTTCTCATGTTAGAGTTTTAATTATTTTACTTTTCTTGTACCTTTTCTCATGTTTCTCTGTCTGTCTGTCTGTCTGTCTGTCTGTCTGTCTGTCTGTCTGTCTTCTCTTTAGCCCAGGCTACCTGAAATTCATTATGTAGCCAATTTTGGCCTTGAATTCATGGTAATTCCTCAGCCTCCTATAGAACTTTGAGGGGGTGTGTTTCCAGCTGGTAGATGTTTGCCAGTGTACACAAAACTCTGGGTCCAATTCCCACTACCAAATAAAACAGACCTGCAATCCCAGCACGCAGGAGCTGGGGGCAAAGGACCAGGAGTTCAAGGTCATCTTTGGTTGCATAGTAACTTCAAGTCCAGTCTGGAAAAATGACACCATATCTCAAGAAAAGTCAATAAATAAAAACATATTTATAATATGGCATGTGTACAGAAAAGTACATTTACACATGTATAAACTAAAAAAAAAAAACAACTTTTAGAAGTTTCAGTTATGTAGCCATCACTCATGCCCAGAATTAATAGTCACTGTGTTAATATGGGGTCCCTCAGTAACACAGGGGCTATAGACATGGGCTACATGAGGAGATCTTGTCTCAGACAGGCTAACAGACTCCCCTTGCTGCAAGTGTCAACAGTGTTGAAATCAAGAAGCCCTGTTATAACCTATTCCTCTATTAGGTGCTTGATTTTTGAGTGGGGAGTAGAGGTGTTGAGGAGGGAGGGTTTTTTTTTAGGGGGGTAAAGGATTTGGATGCTCAAGAAATCTGTTAGCTTTAAACTGTGATTCCCATGACACACTTAACTCATTCAACTAACTGTTCTCAGGGAACTTTTTAAAAGACCACCCAGATTTTGAGACGAAGGCTCCCGTCACTTTGCATTCTTTTAGGGCCACCAAGCACTCCTAATCTCTTCTGTCACTTTGTACCCATCTTGGGGCCCACATGCTGCAAGACTCTGCAGAACCCTGATGTGGTCCATTTTACTATGAGTTAAGTTGTGGATAAATCAAATAAGACAGTAGTCTTTCCAATGACTGTGCCAGCTCCTTTGTGCTTGTAACACTCTGTCTTTTGTTTATTGCAGGATTTAGTAATTCGCATTGTTTTTATCCTTGGCAACCTGACAGCAAAAAATAACCAAGCCCGGGAGCTTTTCTCCAGAGAGAGAGGGAGCATCGAAACTCTGCTCACACTATTTCAGAACTACCAACTTGACCAGCACTCCCCAAGGCTGGGGTTCCCAGGAGCCAGGCCCCCAGCAGAGGCTGAAGATGTGCTGGTCAAGCTGACCCGAGTCCTAGCCAACATAGCCATTCACCCGCGCATCGGCCCAGTGCTGGCTGCCAACCCTCGGGTGGTAGGCCTGTTGCTGACCACGCTGGGTGAGAACTGTAGCCCTGAGACAGTTCCTTGGGAGGGCTGTGGTGAGGGTTTGGATCACGTTAGAGAACCTCCTTAGCTGTGGGAAGGAAAAACACTTTGGGGGATTTGGCTCAGTTGGTAGAATGCTTGCCTGACATACACACACCTTGGAGGTTCAACTCCAGCACTGCTTATACCATGTAGGATGGCACATGCCTGTAATCCCAGCACTCAGGAAGTAGAGGAAGGGAAGTTAAAGGCCAGCCTGGGCTACACAAGCTAAAACCAAACCTGCTACCACAAAGTCTTTCTTCCTGGAGGTGTCTTAACATACCCCGGATTTCAGAACAGGAAGACTGGTAGTGCCATAATCTTTGCCAAAGAACATAACCACTGAGTCATGCCCTTAAAGGTAAATTTGGGACTGTGGAGGTAGCTTACCAGGTAAAGGTGCTGTGGCCAGCCCTGACAACTGGAGCTCTATCCCAGGATCCATATGGTAGAAGGAAGCAACTTCCACACATGCACTGTGCGCTATGGCACACAATAAGTAGATAAGTAAAATACTAAAAGGTTAAGTTTTATCATATCGTAATTTAAAACAATTTTATCTATCAAAAGAGCAAAAACTGGCCAAAAGTTATAAATTCCACATTTTTCCATGATCAGCCCACACAAAGAAGGTTCATTTCCTTTTCCAGTTCTTGTGTTATCTGGAATTATGTCACCGTCCTTCATGGCCCACCTTCCAGTTTACTGAGCCACAGCAAATTGCTTTTGATCTGTGTATACATGTGCCTATGACTGTATGCCACGTGTGCAGGTACTTATAGAGACCAGTGAGACATAACCTTCTCCCATTAGACTCTACTTCTCACTGTTGGACACCACAGGCTGGCAAAAATCATTGAACACACGGACCTTCAGAAGAGCCGCATCCGAGGCATACATACTTGCCAGTTCTGAAAGGGTCACTCGGTGTTTTCCCTCTCCTTCACAATGACACCCAGTCTCCAAGTACATTGGTCTCTGCCCCATGCCTCAAGGGTATCATGCTATCAGAGGCTCCCAGCTGTTCCATACCTGCATCTGTCCTCCTCTGCATGGTGGCCATAGCATCAAGAGATGAGTCCAGAGGTGAAGTGAGAGGGAAAAAAAAAATCACTGAAGGTGTCCTTATATATTAAGCTAAAACTCTGTTTATTCATTTTCATAAGCTTCAAGTTTTGTTTCTGTTTTCTTTTTTCATATAACCCAGGCTGGCCTTAAACTGCGTATCTAAGGATGACCTTGAACTCCCGATCTTCCTGCCTCTACGTCATGGATAATGGGATTACAAGTGCACACCATTGTGCCCAGTTTATGCTGGGAACCAAACCAGAGCTTGTGCAGACTGGGCAAGCCCTCTGTCAATGGAGCTGCATCTTCAGTCTATGTAAATTCATTTGGAGCCCCAGTAAATACTTAAAGTTCAAGTGCTGGGTTCAAAAAACAAAACAAAACAAAAACCGGGCATGGTGGGTGTACTTGTAATTCTGGTACCCACAAGGGGGAGGCAGGGAGATGAGAGGTGGCATGGGGCTGGGGTGACAGAGGAAGTGAGAAGCCATCTGTTGTGTTTGGAAGACAGCCAATGGTGATGGACAGATAATGACTGGAGGATCACTCCTTTGAGAGGCAGGATGTGGGAACTAGAGTAAGGGACCCAGGTTGGATCCCTAAGACCAAGGCATGTGAGTGGGACAGCTTAGCTCACTGTGGATTTGTCCCCTTCACTGCAGACCTGGGACCTCACCTGACTTTTCTAGACCTGGCTGTGGGAATGGGGTTAGCATACCCTGCATTGCTGCGTCTCCCTCTGGGCAGTCGCATCATGGAAAGTAAAGTCTCTCAAAAGCAGTGCCTCCCGAGCCCCCACCCCCAGCTTGTTTCCCTTCCCCATCTTCTGTCACTGTGAATGTGACCTCACTGGAGCTGCAGGGCCAAGCGTCCCTCACTCCCTCCCTGATCACTTGGTTTCAGAATCCAACTCACTGGGCGACTGCGAGGAGCTGGTGATCAATACCACAGCAGCCATCAACAACCTGTCATTCTATCAAGTGAAAAACTCCATCCTGCAACACAAAAAGCTGTATGTTGCTGAATGTAAGGCTCAGCTGGGCATGGCTACACTCATTTAAGGTCTCTTTCTTTCTTTCTTTCTTTCTTTCTTTCTTTCTTTCTTTCTTTCTTTCTTTCTGTCTTTCTTTCTTTCTTCTTTTGGTTTTTCGAGACAGGATTTCTCTATGTTGCATCTGTGGATGTCCTGGAACTCACTCTGTAGACCAGGCTGGCCTCAGACTCATAAGAGATCACCCAGCCCCTGGATGCTGGGATTAAAGGAGTGCATCACCACCTAGCAGTTTAAGGTCTTGATTTTAGTACCTAAAACACACCTGGAGGTGTTACTACGACAGCTGCCCCACATAGCTGAGAACCTTGAACAGGGGAACAATTTGTTTCTTAGTTATTGTTTAAATGCCTCCAGGTTTGTATTTTAGCACTGTTAAAAAATGTTGGGTTCTCTGTATTTGCTAGGAGATTAGTTTTCATTCAGCTTTAAATACGGCTATAGTAAGAAGTAGAGAATAATGTCACCAGTATAAGTTTAAAACTGTGAAAAGCTTAGCTTCAGAGGCGGAAGTAGGTGGGTCTCGGTGAGTTTAGGGCCAGCCTGGTCTATAGAGTGAGTTCCAGGACTACCAGAGCTGTGTCGAACAAATAGCAGCAACAACAACAAACCCACATAAGCAAAGCTCATATACACAATGCTAGCTCTATTATTGCTTAAGTATATATGCTTATGTAGTAATGGTAGAAAGTATGAATGGTATTTGGAAGCTAATTTAAATTTACTCGTTTTCTCTCTCTGATTGCCAAATCCAGTGCTCTTAAAGCTCCTTGTGAGTAACAACATGGATGGAATCCTGGAGGCCGTTCGTGTCTTTGGAAACCTCTCTCAGGACCATGACGTCTGCAATTTCCTCATGCAGAAAAATGGTGGGTTAATGATAGCTGAGATCCTAAGCACATGATTCTTGCCACTAGTCAGCAAAGTGGCTTGGAAGGTTAGGTGATTAAGCATGGTGTTTGTTTCTGTTTTGAGATGAACCACGCTTTACATTTGTCCCATCTGGGGGACAGTTCAGGATGCCGGAATAGACTGAGGCTATGTTCTCTCTCCCTAAGAGCAGCCTCGTAAGTGATTGTGTGTGTGTGTGTGTGTGTGTGTGTGTGTGTGTGTGTGTGTGTGTGTGTGTGTGTTTAATGGAATCTGTACTCATTTCTACCCCTGGGGATAGACTGGAGATTTTTCTCATTCACATGCTAGAATATGTTACACTTTGCTTGTAACTGGAAAACAAACTAAGTGTCCAACAACAGAAAGGACAGCTACAGTAGATATAATGTATTATGGTTTGTAAATATTATTAGGTTTTCTGCCACCTCCCACCCCCATAATAAGTTTCTCCGCCAACACAGTAAGCCAGATCAAGCCAAACTGAAAAAGTGTAACAATGGGTTTATTGAGCCAAGAAACTCCTGGGCAGGTTCTCTGGTCCCAGAGACCAAGGCCAGAGAAGTCACACACCCAGGCCAGGGCAGGAAAGTCTTATGGGTTGTAGATGAGGGGTAATGACAGGTCTGCTACAAGCTGGGTTTGTGCTCAAGTCTGGTCAACAGCTGAGGGCTTAGGCGGGGACTTGTGTAGCCGTCAGGATGAGGGGAGGAAGCTGCTGCAGAACTGGGCTTTTTGGTGCCTTTCCTTTGTTTGGAGGCTCTCTGAGAGGGTGGGGTTTCAGGAGAGTGACAGGACCATACAGGGATGAGCCAGAGGCTCCCACTGAACAAAATATGTATGCTCATACAACAAAATGTTCCACAGCAATTAAAATAAACCATAGACATTCATGGATAAGCATGAACTAGACACTGGTCAACATGGATTAACCTGGAACACATAATGTGGCCATGAAAAGGCTGGTTATAGTAAGAAATAGAAAATAATGTCACCATTGTAAATTTTAAAACATCTCCTGCCCCCAGTACTCAGGAAGCAGAGGCAGGTGGCTCTCTGTGAGTTCATGGACATCCTGGTCCATATTATGAGTTCCAGGCCATCTAGGGCTGTGTAAAGAAACAAACAAAACAGCCCACAGAACAAACACCCACTCCAATACTCACAAAACTGCCTCAAGTACTTTATGTATATTTATGTATATACATTTATGTGGTGATCATGATAGAGAATATAAATGGTGTTTGGAAAATATTGACTCCATGTTTAAGATAGGATTTACCATTTAGAGAGGAAGAAGTATCAAAAGATATAATGTTGGATTTATTTCGTTGTTTTGCTTGAATTAATGAATGAGAATTGTTTATGTTGATGAAATATAATGTATTTTGGATGCAATGCTCTGTTTCTTAAACTAGATGGGTGGCAGATATCGAAATACTTAATGCAAAACACATTGTCTCGAGTATTTCATGTAAGAGTAATAACTTTACAAAACTGTCCAGGGCAGTGATTCTCAACCTGTGGGGCTGTCAAATGACACTTTCACACAGGTTACCTAAGACCATCAAAAGAACATAGATATTTTTATTTGGATTCATAACAGTATCAAAATTACGGTTGTGAAGTAGCAATGAAAATAAATTTATGGTTGGGGCCACAACACATGAGGAACTGCATTAAAGGGTCACAGCATTAGGAAGGTTGAGAACCACTGGTCGGGGCTGGAGGTCTCTCAGTTAATTGAGTGCTTGCTTAGTACACACAAGGCCTTGGGTTAGATTCTCCGAAGGCATAAACCTGGTGTGCTGGTGGAAACCTTCAAGCCTAGTGCTTGGGAGGTAGCTGCAGGAGGATCAAAACTTCAGGGTTGGGATTTGGGGGTGAGGATTTGGGGGGACAGCACTCTGGAGGCAGAGGCAGGCAGATCTCTGCAAGTTTGAGGCCAGCCTGGTCTACAGAGTGAGTTCCAGGACAGCCAGGGCTACACAGAGAAACCCTGTTTCAAAAAACAAAAGAAAATGAAACAAAAACCCAAACCCAAACCAAAAATCTTGAAGGTCACCCCCAGCTACATAGCCAGCCCTGGTGTCTTGGGGTTACTGTTGCTGTGATGAAACACAGTGATTAAAAACAACATAGGGAGGAAAGGGTTTGCTTTGCACATCCTGAACCACAGTCCCTCGAGGGAAACTAGTGTAGTAGCTGATATAGCAGCCAGCTTGCTCAGCCTGATTCCTTACAGTTCCTAGGACCTGGGACCAGCTCAGGGGTGGCCCCACCCACAAGGGGCTGGGTCCTCCCCTATCACTAATTAAGAAAATGCCCTACAGGAATTTCTCAGTTGGCGTCTCCTTCGTCCCCCCCCCCCCCCCCCTAATTTTTTTTTGATTAACTGGGATACTTGAGACCCTTTCTCAAACAAATCCAGCCCCACAAACAACAAAAGATAATAAATCTAGATAATGCAAATACAGCTGTATCATCAGCAAGATGCAACCCCATATCCCAATGCCCTGAACTAGCATTTGGGGGTACATTGTCAAGCTCACTCTCCAACCCAGCCAATAGGCCCGTGTGGACAGCAGGGGAGCCACCACTCGGGTGCTTGGTAAATGGTGTCTGGTGGTGGTCACACCTCATCGATTCCCTGATCCCTTCAATGGGCCCTGCTTAGGGATGAGAAAACAGGACTCATAGTCCATAGTTCCATCTCCTGGAGTAAGGGGGGATGATTGGCCCACCCAGCTTGCCCCGCCCCCTGCACTATCAGTCCTGGGCTGTACAGACCAGTTCCCAGCATCCTAAGTGTTGCTGTGTTCTGGAAGCTTCAGGAAAAAGCTCATCAGGACCTGACTCTGCTGCCCCAGACTGTGCATTAGAGTTACAACTGGAGGCCTTTGAGAACCACCAGAAGTAGGGAGAAATGTCACCAGCCGGGAACCCCCCCCCAGAGGGGGCTGCTGTTGGGTCAGTGACAGCAGTAACAGGGCCAGAGGCCCTGGGAGGCAGGAATGGGTTCTAAGAGCAGTGGGTTCAGAACATTAGCCAAGGTTCCAGGGTTGCAAGCCACATCTTCCCACTTTCCCACCCCTGCTGCATCCTTCACCCCCAAACCCTACCCCGTTTGTAAACAAGCTGCGGCTGGGATGCAGGCTTTGACCAGTCTGCATGTGTTCTCTGCTCCCCCAGTACACAAGTTCATGATTGCACTGCTGGAAGCCAAGCACCAGGACATTTGCTTTTCTGCCTGTGGGGTTCTGCTAAACCTTACCGTGGATAAAGACAAGCATGCCATTCTGAAAGAAGGGGGAGGCATTAAAAAGTAAGTAAGGCATGGACTCAGGACTCTCAGGACACTGGCAGCATGCTTGTCCTGGGAGGCCCTTCGATCATTCCAAAAGAGCAGTGGAGGGTTCAGAGGGGGTTGAGAATCTATTGGATATTGAACCACAACTCAGAGATGCATGAGTGAAAACTTTGTAGTCAGTTAAGTTTGTAGATATGAACTTAAAGGATGATTCTATGGAATTCAGAAGGCTAGCCATCATACCAACAATATAAAACTTAAAGACAAATTCCGATCTGCTGATACTTCAATTTGACATCCCTCACTCAGGTTAGTGGATTGCTTAAGAGAGTTTGGTCCTGGCGATTGGCAGCTGGCCTGCTTGGTGTGCAAAACCTTGTGGAACTTCAGTGAAAACATCACAAACTCATCATGTTTTGGCGATGAAGACACCAACACACTCCTCGTCCTCTTGTCATCATTTTTAGGTAAGGGCCCTTGCTGTGGATCTGTGACCTTTACCAAACAGGCAAAGAAAACTGTGTTCTCTGACCTGGCTGGGTAATGATTGGTATGCAACAGCAGAATGTGAAAGGAACTCTTGCAGAGAGTTTCTGGAAGAGACAGAGAGCTAGTTACAGTCCACACAGAAGGCTTCCTAACGGCCTGGAACTGGGACTGTCAATTTCTTCTATAGCTCTCCCCTTTGTCTTCTTTGATTGCATAAATAGCAGCAGCCTTGTGCCTCTGCTGTTTAAAAGCATATAGACTGTCACAGCTAAGGAAATATGGTTAAGAAATATGGCTATTTTGAATTAAGTCATGTTTCTAGTTGAATATATTTTAATTAGTGGTGTTAATTATTACCACATAGGGAAGGGTCTGTGCAATTATATGACATTACAGCAGGGTCCCCGTGCTTGAAAGGTAGGGAAGATGTAAACTGAAGATCATTTCCTACTTTAACTTTTTTCTATTTTTAGAATTTTTTCCAACATGGTTTTGGGCTAAAAACAATTTATGTCAGTTAATGAGTGAATGATTTTACAAATTCTGTCTCTTACTTTGAGGTGAGGGTCCATGATTGTCCATTTATGAGGGGCAATGTGGAAAAGCTCGTTATAACTCAGAAACCATGGCCTGAATCCTTCCAGACTGTATTTGTGGTGTTATTTGAATAGCACATCTCTTCTATTGCCTGACTTTCTAATTCTAAAATGGGAGTGTGCTGAAGCCTGCACAGTCCCAGAAAGTTAACTATGAAGGTTAGAGAAGCATCACACAGAAATGTAGAAGACTCACACACAGTCTTCTAGTCAAATGGTTCCAAATTTCAGGTCCTAGCTTTATCCTTTATGAGTTTTTACACCTTAGCCTCTTGTCTTAGTCACTGGACTGTTGCTGTGAAAAGACACCATGAGCATGGCAACTTACATACCAAAGCATTTAATTGGGGGCTCACTTACAGTTTCAGAGGCTTAGTCCATTATCCTTAGGGCAGGGAGCATGGCAACAGGCAGGTGTGGTGCTGGAGAAGAAGCTGAGAGCTCTACATCCTGTCCTTAGGCAGCAGGAGGAGAAAGAGCCTGGGCCTGGCCTGGGCTTTTGAAACCTCAAAGCCCACCCCCAGAGACACACTTCCTCCCACGAGGCCACACACCCTAATCCCTGTCAACTAGCACCACTCCCTAATGACCAAGCATTCAAATCTGTGAGCCTATGGAGGCCATTATTATTCAAACTACCAATCCTCTTTAAGCTTATATGTTTATCCCCTCTAAATTCAGGTGGATTGAGCCTGCTCTCCAGGGTGCCTAGGAATAATGTGCACTTACACCAAGAGTTTAATAGTGTACCTGATACCAGGGAAGACCTCAAAGAGGGCTAATATGCTTTATGGATGCTAAGGGGTGTGGCAGGGTAACATTGTGTTGTGCCCAAATTCTGAAACCGCAAAATCACCAAGAGACCCATTTCGATGCAAAAGCAAAGAGTCTTTTATTGTGGTTGTTTAATGAGCTAAACATTAGTGGATGGTTGGAGAAAGACCCTAATAAACCATGAGGGCGGGGAATATATCAGATAGCATAAGGGGAGTGTCTAGGGGTATGCACAGTCTCAGGATTGGTGTGCTTCCTGTGTTGATTGGTCAACTAGTTGTTATGGCCTATAGGTCCTCCCAGGGCGGCTGCTATGCTCTGCATGTCACTGTTGTGCACTGTGTGTACATAAAACACAGCCCTGCCAACTAACTTCTGATTGGTCCCTTGCCACAAGGAACCTCCTAGTGAGTAGGACAGGAGGGGCAAGGTCAGGCAAGCACCTGTTAGCCTGTCATGACTGCTAAAACAGGGGCTGGTTCCTTCAAATGGACAGGAACAGAGGCTCGGAAATTACTTGAAATAATCAGATCTGCTTGGCTGTTAGTGGAGTTTGTCCTGAAAGTATATGATATCTGTGTGAACATGTGTTAAAATTCAGACTAAGAAAAAGAATGGGCCTAGTTGTAAATGATTGAGGCTCTCAGTGTCCTTGTGAACATGGAGGTTTCTCTGGTGGCAGGGAGCAGGGATGCTTGCACAGGTTGCCTGAGTTCAGCTCCCATGGGGCCTGAGCTGGGACATCAGCTGTGGAATAGATAGCTGGCCTGGCGCCGCTGTAGCAGTTCTCATATCAGGGGCTCTGGGCCCAGCCTGGGAATCTGTGAGTCTGAGGTGCTGAGCCAGGGTTGGGACCTCTGCTCTAGTTCATACAGAAGATTCAGGGAGGCATGTGAAGAAAGGAGAAGCCAGGAAACCAGATGGTACAGTGTCCTGGGGGCTGCTTAGGAGCCATCAGCCTCAGGGACTGTCACAGGAGCAGGCATCCCCAGCCCGGCTCTGGGTCCACCGCTCTGGAGAGCCAGCTCCACCTCGTCTTGGCTCCCCTGTTCCTCCTGGCCCCCTCTAATCTCATGCTTGCTCATGTATTCTGCTGCCTCATGTTTCCACTTTCCACACCCAGTGTTTGTCACTGTGTCTCTTTTGTTGTTTCTGCTCTTCCCTGTGCCTTCCATTCAGGGAGAAGGCATGGCTGGCTTCAGAAGCCCCTCACCAGGAGTCTGAGGCTTTGGTGCGCCTCAGATTTTGTGTGCCTGAAAGGCTGTCATTGTTGTCCAAGCTTGGGACAGTCATCTCTGAATAACAAGGATGATGGGGCCACACAGCTTGTAAGAACCAGCCGTAACAGCTGTGGGCAGGGCTGGTTCCTGAGCAGGGCAGAACCCCAGGAGGCATTTGGTGTAGTTGGCCTATTGTCTGCTACTCCACTCCAGCCTTGGCATTCAGACATGCTCTATACCCTCTTGCAGGCCATGGTCTAATCACAGGAATCCTGCACATGACCTGTGGGATTTCTCCCTCGTGATGGTTTTATAAGCTTTAGTTCTCTGCTCCCAGAGTCCCTGGAAGGAAATCGCATTTCATTCAGTAGAGGTGCTTGGTGAAAGCTGTTGATGGCTAGGAGGGTGCTAGCTACCTTTGTGTTAAGAGTGCTGTTACACACTTGTCACTTGGGATCTTTACATTATGATGATGTAGCGACAGGCCATCAAGCTGTCCAGGCCTGTCCGAGAATCTGCCATCCTCCAGCCTCAGTCTGTTGTGTCGGTATGCCTGTACGTTATCATTTCTTTCCACTATGTTTCTAAGGTCATTAGCTAATTGCTGTCACTTAGGAGAAAGTGAGTCTAGTTGGTTACACGACTTGCCAAAACTGACATTATGGCAGAAGCTGGGGCTTTTCATCAGAGGAACAACATCTGGACTGTGTTCTCCTCTACTGTATGCCCAGCACACATGACTCTAGCTGTCTCCACCAGGGCCACTATGGTGGGGAGAGTTACACTAGCTCCATTTGACCAGGGAGCCAGCTCACGGAACAAAGCACACAGGTTCCTTCTTGGGTCTTGCTTCTATATGTGTAAGTACACACGCATGTGTGTGTGTATGTGTGTGTGTGTGTGTGTGTGTGTGTGTGTAGGACCAAGGCTGAGATTGAGAATCACCCTCGGTTGATTTTCTTTTTTATTCTCAGTCAGGTCCAGAGCTCACTGCTATAGCTAGTCTTACTTGCCAGCCTCCTCCTCGGTTGCCCTGTCCGAGCCTTTCAGGTCTGGGATACAGATGGGCCAGCACAGGCCCCTTAAGCTGCTGGGCCATCCTGCTTGCCCTGTACTCTGTTACTGTATGCTCACCCTGAGGTAGATGGGTCCTGGCATCAGGTTTTGTGACAAGGGAACAGTGGGACCTGGCATTCTAGTTGGTGAATCACAACATGAGGACAATATCAAAGAGCCATCAAAGTGCTCCTGAAACAGCTGAGGACTGTTTGCTAAAAGAGAGTGACTGAGAGACATGATTGAGAGACATGAGAACTCTCCTCCAGTGACTTGTGCTGCTTAGGAAGCTAGTTCCTAGTGCACCACTCGGGGACAGCTTCACTGGGCACAGTGGCACTGGAGCACTGCTTCACTGGGCACAGTGGCACTGGAGCACTGATTGTTTTAAGTCCTTCAATCCTTTGTCATATCTCACCCTAAGTGTTAATATTTGGAGATGCGCAGTGCACAGAGAAAGCATAGGAATGACTGGCTAGCAAGGTCAGTGCTGTTCACACTGTGGCTATGAAGTCAATTGAATCAATTAGAACCCACACCCCTCAAAAACTGAAGTGGCAAAGAAGATACCAGGTATATCAATTTCTATTGCACATAGAAAAGGTTATTTATATAAAGAAGTACGTAGAGAGTCATGGAACAAAAATACTGCTTCCTGCAGATCACAGGAGGTTTGATGGATCTGTATTTTAGCTGGATCAGCCTCTGCCACTCCTTGCAGTACAAGTTCAGAATTCTAACACCGAACATAGCATACCACTTTTTAATGCACTTTTTATTTCTGCATTTTTCTTATTGTAGCTATTTAACTATTTTTATCTTGTCTTTCCTGACTTAGAGTTAATATGGGCTGGCTACTGGTGAACTAATTTCTACATAGTCTGGGCTTCAAGGGCCTTGAAAAACCAAACCAACCAACCAACCAACCAAGCAAATAAAAACCTCCCAAAACAAAGAATATGCCAAACCACCAAATCCAACATAGCCCAAGCAGAAGAGGGAATTATACATGGTCCCACTGCTTAGAACTAAACACCTTGGGAAAGAAGAACAGAAACAGACTTTACCAGCAACTGTTTAGTGCTCAGAAAAGTCTAGAAAAGAGCAAACAGGAAGATAGCCTAGAAATCTGGAGTCGGTCATTCTAGCAGGCACTTCTTGTCCAGAAGAGGCCAAACAGGAAGGCCTTTGAAGGCGTGGAACACTGACAGTGCCCTCCCCGATCCAGGCCTGGGTTATCTCACTGGTGAAGAACACCAGGTTTGCTTACTTGGTCTCCATGGAGGCCTGGCTGGAGTGCTTGTGTCTGCATGAAACTTATCTCAGAGCTGCATAACTCTGCACTTGATCCTGAGGAGGGGAGGGGACAGTCCAAACAGGGATCCTACACTCCCTTATCTAATGCTGGTGCCACTAACACCCTTGGTGCCAAGTATGCCCTGAACAGACATAAATGTCTGCTGCAGGAACTGTAAACAGAGCAGTGAGCACTCTATAACAGGCTATAATTGGCCCTATAGCATGTTTGCACATTGTGTAAGTATCTGGATTTGTGATCATTTTGAGACTTCATGATCACTATGTAAGTTGTCTGCCTCAGGCCACAGGGCCAGGAATGGCAGAGCCAGCTCACTGATGCCAATAGGAACAGCAAAAACTCGATGGTTGGTGAGGACTGTGGCTGTTTGTTTTTCTACACAGGTTAGAGATACTTAAGAGTTCACAGAATTCAGTGTGTTCTATGTTAAACAGATTAAACTTTTATTTTTCATTTTATTTTCACAAGTGCTTTTCTGCATTTTGTTTTGTTTTTTCAAGACAGGGTTTCTCTGTGGCTTTGGAGGATGTCCTGGAACTAGCTCTCGTAGACCAGGCTGGTCTTGAACTCACAGAGATACGCCTGACTCTGCCTCCCAAGTGCTGGGATTAAAGACATGTGCCACCACTGCCTGGCCTTTTCTGCATTTTTTATGTTGTCTTTGGGGTGTCAGGTGGTCCTTAGGGTTCTCAGCGTCCCGTAGTTTTTTTTTTTAATGGGAAGTATGGGGTGGGGGAGTGGCTTTTGTGTCAAATTGGCCCATTTTCCCAAAAGATTCCTATCTCTTAATCACTGAAGTAATTAACCTTTCTAAAGCACATATAAGGAAGCCATCTAGTCCTCATTTATTTTGAGAAGTTGTAATGAACTTTTGGATGCAAACAGATGTGTGACACTTAGGAAATCATTGAAAGAAAAGCTCACTTCAATCTAAGAGGTTTTTTTTTTTTAAAAAAAAAAACAACAACAACAACAAATTATTGCCCTTTTAAATTAAGACATTAAAAGATACTTGTTTTGCAGGGGCCTGTTGATGCATGCTGGCTTGCAGGGACCTGTTGGTGCATGCTGGCAGTCTCAGCACTTATCACTCCAAAGGCTGAGTCCTGGAGGTTCTAATTCCCAGCACTCACATAGAGGCTCACAACTATTTCTGACTTCAGTTCAGGGGATCCAGTCCCCTCTTCTGACCTGGACAGACATCAGACATGTACATTGGTGCACATACAATCAGGGGAAATACTCAGAATTATTAATAATGATAATAATAAAATAAACAAAAAGACCCGAGTAAACACACACACACACACACACACACACACACACACACACACACCTTATTCTTAACTATTTTTGATGTTCAAAAGAATGCCCATTCAAATAGCTTTCTTCTTCAGTGTGCAGTGGTATAAGCCTGTGGACTCCTCTCCTGGGAAATCTGAGGCAGGAGAATCACATAAGTTCAGGAGTTAAAGATTAGCATAAGCCTAGGTGACATAGAAGACCCTATCTCAAAAACACACAAACCAAATAAATAAATAAATAAATAAATACATGTCTTTTAATCCCAAATCTCATCGTGTGTCATCGAGTCCTGTCCAGTCATGTGGTATTAAAGATAACCCGGAGTGAGAAGCCCCACCATGGGAAGTGAATCTGTTCAATGAATCACTCTCTATGTAATTGCTCTAATTTTGATTTTCTTTCCTAATATAGATGAAGAGCTAGCTCTGGGCGGCAGTTTCGACCAGGACCTGAAAAGCTATCATAGACTGCACTGGGAAACAGAATTCAAACCCGTGGCACAGCAGCTTCTGAAGCGAATTCAGAGTCACCACACGCCCCTGGAGTCCCTGCCTATCCCTTCTTTAGTCTAACACAACACAGGCTAATGGCAGAACTGGGAAGTCAGGCCTCCCTCATTCTTGGGAAGTGGTAAAAGCTGGAACATTTCTCAGTATTAACACATGTTGAGCATTTAAAGAAACATACTGATTTTAGTGAATAGCCTAAGTATTTTGAAAGAAATTTCTTCTTTTCTAGGTATTATGGAAAAATGAATATATATATATTTTCTGCTATGAGAGCTGTGAGATGGAAATATATGCATTTTAAGACTTCTCTTTCTATTTGCCTGTAAATCACTTAGAAAACATCCTTAAAAATCCCTACCTGACCACTTTGGAGTGAACGCACTTGCAAGTGCGTTCACTCGTCCAGGAACTTCACAGTGGAGAAATACAGTTTGTCCATGGGAGGAATGGTCTACAGGAAGGCACCTGACTGCCCAGGCATCTGTCCCAACTCTCTCTATGTCTAAAAATAAGTGCCTTGCCTCATATTAGCATTTTCTTGTTCTTTTATTAAGAGAATGAATAAGCAGAAGAAAGAGAGAAAGCTGCTTGGAGGGCTCAGTGGTAGAGCACATGACTACCCGGTTCAAGGTCCTGGGTTTGATCCCTCAGCAGGGACGTAGGAGGAAAACACTGCTTTAGGTCAGTTTAATTTTTTTCTTCTGTTTGTACCAATGCTTGACCTACATGTTTATCTGTGTACTCTGTGCAGTCAGTACCTGTGAGGACCAGAAGAGGGTGTCAGATCTGAGCCTGGAGTTCTAAATGGTTGTGAGCTCCTTTGTGGATGCTGGGAATCAAACTGGGGTCCTCTGCAAGAGCATCGAGTGCTTTTAACCACTGAACCATCTCTCCAGCCCCTATTTTTTTGTTTAGATTTAATTTTTTTAATTTATGTATATTTATTTATATATGTGTGTCTTCATAAACATATGCCCTGTGTGTATGGATTCCCTTGAATTCAGAAGAGGGCGTCAGAGTCCCCGGAACTGGGGTTACAGACAATTTTGAGCTGCTGGACTTAGGTGCTGGGAGCCAAACTCAGGTCCTCTAGAAGAGCAGCCAGTGCTTTTAACCACTTAGCCATTTCTCCAGCCCCAGCCACCTACTTCTTGAATTAAGTAAAACAGATGAAAAAGAGTACTTTGCCTTTCTTTTCATTTGCAATACACTGAATTAGATGCTGTTTTATCACTGGATTGTATTCCAGAGAAACAATATAACAGATTAGAGAGTACATGCTTAGCTGTGTGGCATTCCTGTTTGACTTCTACCTCTCTTCTGCTAGCTGCCGGGGGCCTTAACTAAGTAACTAATTAACAATTAACTAAATTTCTTGAGCTTGTAGTACAAAATGAGAATAATACCTCTTTTTTTTTATTTTAGTGCATTCATGAGTCAGGGTTTTTAGAGGGACAGTATCAATGGGATGCATATAAATTTATGGCAAAGGAGACCAATTAAATTGGCTTACTGGTGGGGAAGTCCAACAATGGCTGTCTGCAGTTTGGAGAATGTGATGAGTCATCGACGCCTAATGCCTCAGCAGCCTCAGTCTGGTGTTGAAGGCCTGGAGGGTCCCTGGAGAGCATCTGGTCTTCCGTCAACATTGGAGACCAAGAAGCTGGGTTCCCAAGTCAGTGAAGGGCAGCAGCAACAGTGACAAAAACCTAGTAGACGGGCTTGCCAGCGGGTGTGAGGGCAGAAAGCAAAAGCCTGTGTTTCCCTCACACCTCTTTGTATGTGGGCAGCCTCAGGGAGACTTGCTGACCACTGTGGGGGAAGGTTTACCCCCTCAGTTAAGATTTCCAGGAAATACCCCTGCAGGCAGACTTGCTCAGCATGTCTCTTAGTTGGTTCCCGAGCTAATAAGGTTGACCACACCATGAACACGCAAGTGAAGTTTCCAGCAAAACATTCAGTCAGCAGATTGTAAATGCACACTGTAATTATTATGAGGGGAGTCTGTTTGCTTGTCTCAAGGGTAAAATTTGACTTTGAATAAATGATTTAAAAAGACAATGCAATTGTGACTGTGATTGTTAGCCTATACTAGCCAAATGAAGGTTTGCAGTTGTGCTTGGAGAAAGATGTTATGAAAAGTTTATTTTTGACCCCAAATGTGACCTTGGGATGAAGGCAGGCCTCTCGGACTGAATGTGTTGCTAAACTCTTTAGAATACATTTCCAGAAGCAGGTAGATTTTGCAAGGGCCCATTGTAATCCATCCAAACATGCAAGTAGGTTCAGCCTAACAGAGGGAATCCGTGTAAGCTCCTGGGTCTCATCTCTTCAAGCGCTAAGGATGGAAGTCTGTTTTATCCACAGCAAGCTACATGTTCTTCCAGTAAAAAGAATCAAGTTCTTCCCCACTCAAAACATATTCCTCCCTCCATATTTAGAACTGCTAGCTCACGATGGAGTCCCATTTTCTCCTCCACACCAAACACTTCCCCCTGAGACTAAGGCAGGCCAGGCCCTTTATCATCACCTATTTGCAAATGTGATTTTTTTTTTTTTCCAGGAAGGGGAGGAGGCAACTAAAAACTTAAAATCTTCCATTCTTTTCATTTTTTTAAAAGTTAATGTGTGTGGGGGTGTTTTGCCTGCAGGTACATCTGTATACCACTTGCATGCTTGGTGCCAATGGAGGCCAGAAGGGGGTACTGGGTCCCCTGGATCCCTTGGAACTGGAGTTACAGACGGTTGTGAGCCACCATGTGGGTGCTAGAGATCAAACCCAGGTCCTCTGGAAGCTCTGAACCGGCTCTTAAGAGATGGAGAGCCATGTCTCCAGCCCCTTCTTTTCCATATATCATGAGTGTGTGTGTGTGTGTGTGTGTGTGTGTGTGTGTGTATGTGTTGTTTATTGAACATATTCTCCCCAGTGCCCCTCACCTCAGTTTCTCACCCCTCTTCTCTCCCATTAGTCTCCCTTGACAAACAGTTCTCAGCCTGTGGGTCACAACCCCTTTGAGGTTGAAAGATCCTTTCACCGGGGATGCGTATCAGATATCTTACATATCAGATATTTGCATTATGATTCATGACAATAGCAAAATTATAGTTATGAAGTAACAACAAAAATAATTTTATGTTTGGAGTTACCACAACATGAGGAAATGTGTTAAAGGGTCATAGCATTAGGCAGGTTGAGAGCTAGGGCTCTTGGCAGTTTTATTTCTGCTTTCATGACATATCCACACACAGAACCTTTTAGCTTACCAGTGGCATGGCAGCACATGCCATGGGAAGTACACCCACCTTGCTCTGCGGTAGGTCCCCAGAAACTTATCCTGGAAGCTGGAACTTTACACCCATTAACCAATTTCCATACCTCCCCCTGCCCTCCCCTTTCTGATCCTAAAGTTTGGTGACTTTAGATAGTCTCATATAAATGGTGCCATATAAGATTTTGTCTTTTGTGGCTAGCTTGTTTCATTTAGCATAGTGTCCGAATGTTTCATCTGTTACAGCCAGCAACAGAATTCCTTTCTTTTAAGGCTCAGTTATATTCCATTGTACACACACACACACACACACACACACACACACACACACACACACACCTATAAAATGACTCTGTGAATATAGGTGTACAAAGGTTGCTTTGTTGCCTTGTTTAATTATTTTTATATGTACTCAGAAGTGGTATCTTAATTCAGACTACAATAACAAAAATAGCATAGTTTGATGGGGTTGACAACAGAAGTGTGTTCCCTGTAGAGGCTGGGAAGTCTAAGACTGGTTCTGGCCAGTTGGTTCCTCCCCAGGCTCTTCTTGGGATCCTTTTTGTTTATTTATCGGTCACATTCATGATTGATAAACATTTTCTACCCTGCCATCAGCTGCTTTTCACTCTAGTATCTCACATTTCCATATTGGAAGTCTGGTGTAGTTGTGCCTGTTTTTGTTTTTTTCTATTGCTCCCTGTGGTTTGAGTGTCATAGTCCCAGAAAAATCCTGGCCAAATCCAACATCATGAACGGCTCCCCCAATGTTTTCTGGAGTTTGGTAGATTGAGGGAGATCTTCCATTTAAGTCTTTGGGGATTTTATTTGTGTTTGGGGGAGGGGTACACACATACCACAATGTGTACAGGGAGGTCAGAGGACAACTTTCTTCCACCAATGGGTTCTGGGGCTTGAACTCACGTCATCAGGCTGGGCAGCAAGCACTCTTACCCACTGAGCCATCTCACTGGCCTTGAGTTATTTTCTGTGTGTGGTGAAAGGTGAAGGCCCAACTTCATTCTTCCATGTAGCCCTACTTTTCCCAAAATCCTTTGTTGAAAGGACTGTCCTTCCCTCGCTGGATGGTCCTGGTACATTTGTCCATATGTATTTTTGTCCCCCACAATTATTCCCCTACCCCACTGCTCCCTTGTTTGTCCCTGTGCTATGATGTGCATGTTACCCTGCCTGTCCTTACTTTAAAGAGAGGGGTAACTTTGTCTTCTCTTTCCCCCAAGTTTGTTTATTCAAGGCCCTCTGAGATTCAACTTGGGTGAATTTTAGATCCAGACGTAGTGACATAGGCTCAGGAGGTCAGCCTGGGCTACATAGTAAGTTCAAGACTAGCCTTGGCAACTAAATGAGACCATCTCAAAATAAAGAGTAAACTGAGGGCTGGGGATACATATGGGTCCCCAGACCTTTGCCTAGCATGTGTGAGGCCCTAAGATTCATCTCTGGTACAGAAGAAATTGAAAAAATATACATTTTAGAATATGACTTTCTCTCCCACAAAGAAATACCACTGAGATTTAATAGTAATTGAACCGAATGTACAGACTGCTTCCCATGGAGGGGCACTGTAGTCTTCTACCCAGGAACACACCTTGCATTTATTTGTGGTTTTAATTTCTGACAATGTTTTATAATTTTCAGGATAAATCTTTTTCATGTTGTCTATATCTGTTCAGTCTGTGATAGCAAAATGCCTTGTACTAGGTAAAGCACAGACACTGTGCATTTATTTATTGCTCACAGTCCTAGAGGCTGCAGAGTATAAAAGCACAGCTTTGGTCCTGATATATAGGCCTTGTATGTGATATTTACTAATATGTATAATACATATTACACATATGTCAAGTGTGTGCACACACACATGCACACATGTCACAGACACACACCCATACCGATGTCATGCCTGTGGAGGGGAGAGGACAACTCTGAAAAGCCACATCTCTTCCTCTGCCATCTGAGTCCTGGGGATGGAATGCATGTCTTCATGCATGGCAGCAAGCACCTTTACCACTGAACCGTCTTGACAGTCCTCTAATTTTAATTATTTTATTTTTTTCTTAGTTAACCTGGTTATAGGCTTATCAATTGTTAGTCTTTTCAAAAAATTTTTTACTTTGATGGTTTTTTTTCTCTCTTTTTTTTTTTTTTTTTTTTTGAAATGGTTTCTCTGCATAGCCCTAGCTGACCTAGAACTTGCTCTGTAGACCAGACTGGCTCTGAACTCACAGAGATCCGCCTGCCTCTGCCACTGCCGGGAGTGCTGGGATTAAAGGCGTGCGCCACCACCACACAGTACTTTGATGGCTTTTAATGCTGTTTCATTTACCACTTTCCTAATCCTTGCTTTATTTTGTAGTTTCTTGAAATGAGGTTGGTTCTTCTGTTCCCTACCTCCTAGTTCCCTGCTCTCCTTTCTCTTCTCCATCCTACCTCCTCCTCCCTTTCCTCCCTCAGCGTGGTTCCTTTTCAGTGTTAGCTTAAGCTAACTCATACAATTTCTTCTTCCCATCTAGTAAGTTTAGGAACAACATGTTTTCATTTTCTTTTGAAAAGAGATGTTTGCAGATTTCCTAGGATTTCTTTTTGGACCTGCTGTTCAGCACCATGTTTGATTTTTACATGTTTGTGGATTTTTCCCATCCCCCCTGCTGCTGCTGTCTAGCTCCGTCCCACCGTCGTCCAAATACACAGGACGTCTGCCTTGTCAGTCTGTGCCTAACTCAGTCCTGGGGAGTGTCCTGTGTGCCTGCAAAGGAGAGAGGTCTGGAGTGCTCTGTCTCATCATCAGGAGGCTTCAGGGCCTCCTGTTCTGTTCAAGTAATTTCCTTCTTGCTGGTGCTCTACTCTTATTGAGAGAGGAGTGTTGATGTCATGGATGTTACTGTACTACTGTTTCTACAGTTTTGGCAGTGTTTTATATGTTTTAGAGCTCTGAGAGCAGGTTGTATATATGTTTGTAATTATTCAATCATTCTATTGAATTGACCTGCTGTGGTTGTATAATGACATAACAAGCCTCATTTTCACTCTCGGGACAGTGTTTTGACTAATACCTATTTTGACTGATATTAGTATATAGCGGCTGTACTCTGGCTTCCATTTGCATGGGATATTAATATGTGCACTCTTAGTTATAAAGAGTGTCCCTTATAGGCAGCATATAGATACTTTTAAGAAATCCACTTGGCCAGCCTATGACTATGGATCCATTTAGAGTTGGCGTAACTATGGATGGAAGGGACTCACTGTGGTTAGCTATCTGCTACACATCTTGTAGCCCTTGACTCTTATTTTCTCTCTGCTTTCCTTTTGTGTTTCACTTTTTATTCTTGTTTTAGTGTCACTTTTATTATCTGTTCATTTCCTTCTAGACATTTTCTTTGTGGCTACCATGGGAAACATACAAAGCACTGTAATAGTGTAACAATCTATTTTTAACTGGTGACAGACAGCTTTAACATCCAAAGACTATTCCTTTTCAGCCCTGCGTGTCCCTCCATTTACACACTGCACATTGCATTCCCATTTATATAAATTTCCAGTTATTTTCATGCCTTTGTCATATTTGAACTTGTATCAGAATTGAGTTTAAATAGCAGAATTACATAATACAAATTATTCTATTTGTTCATATTTACTTTTGCTTGTGAACTTTGCTTTCATGTGGCCTTGTATTGAAGATACCACTGCCTATACTATGTTATTCTTTCAGATGAAGGATTCCTTTGGAGGGCTGGTGATTTTCTCTTACTACTTCTAGGCTTCTGTTTT